ATAATTACACAGTAACAAGGACACCTTAAAATAAAGTGTAACCAAAGTAAAAATTAAGAAAACATACATAGAAAAATGTGAAAATTACTGAAGTTAAACTTAATAAAATTCAAAATATTAACAAAACTGTAACAACATATCAGTCACAATAAAATAACTTTAAGGCAATATACAATCTGCATGCTTAAAATATTGATATTTCATCATACTATAAAAACCATCAATATTAAGAAAGATACAAAAGACTGAGATTAATGTTTTTATTCTTTTCATTGTTGCAGCTGTATGTTCTTTTATTATTTCTATACAAAGTGTACAAAATTGGGACAGAAAAAAAAAATTGTTAACAGACTTTGGAAGCCATTAAGAAATAATGGTGGATATGTAAGAGATCTTTAAATCAGGTATTAAAGGGTACTTTTATGTCCAAGTCTTAATAATATTAATACCATTTGCTTAATTACATTATGTTTAAAGAACATAAAATAAAGCCAAAATTAAACTCATTAACAAAGTCAAGTAATGAACCCAAATCTATTCAATTAGCCTGTTCTGCAATATTTTACTGCTTGAGGATATCTAAATATCGAGGATTGTTACTACAAACTAAAGCAATCTACGATGAACACTTTGTGGACGAGGTATGGCATCAACTATCTGACCATTACAATCTAAATAAATTGTATAAACGACATTGTAAAACTGATCCCTTTCTGTTTTTCTCCTACCCTTCCTTTCTGAACCAAAATGAACAAAACCAGGCTTAAATTCAAACTATTTCCCAACTTGAAAATAAAGGCTTTCACAGGAAGGAACTTCAAAACAAAACAGTCCTCCTCAGGACATTGGCATGTTGCGCAAAACCATGCGAACTATTCAAAACAAGAACACGCACTTCCGCGCATAACAGCAGAGCCTTTTGTTAACTTACGTAACCACTTGCCATTATTTTTGCTTGGATGCTTTGGAGGTTTCACAGAACATCTAAAACCAACCAAACTAACCCATCCGGAAAGCGAAAGAAAAGAAAGCCTGTTCGTTCATACTGCATTAGCGCACACTGCATCACACATCAAAATTCAAACTGTCAATCAGCATATGCCACTTCTGTAAAAAACCTCTTTACAACCTTCTCCCCAACATACTGATATCCCACCACAACCCGGTTATAACCAAGCCATCTAGCTGGTTCGTATGCAACATTAAAGAAAACCGAGAGAGCTGACTGCATATGTAAACTTTGCTGGTTTTATTTTACTTTAAGACTCATCTAGCCGGGCATGAGAAGAGATGGCGATTTCCCAAATGGCAAAGTCGTCTCTGGGCAACATCTTTGAAAAGGTGGCATGGAGCTAAGATGGGGGTCTGAAAATATTAGGCTTTCACTAAATGGAGCAAACCCAAGCCAAAGTGCTGTGAGACGAGCATACCATAGAGAGGAAAGAGGCGCCGAGCCATTGCGAGCTATTGCACATTGAGGGAAACCGCTCATGTGACTGTGACAGATCACTTCGGACACCAAACAGTCTTGTGTCTGGATGTCCGACGAGGGGTTTGAGTAGGAAAGAGCAGAGATGATGGAGCCCCAGAGACAAGGCACCATATTCTGATAGGAAGAAGAGGTAGAACCGGGCTGATCTGGCACAGCGGTGGGCCGCGGCTTCAAGCTGTCATTGGTCAGGACGCAGCAGTGGAGGTTTGAGGTTGGGCGTGGTGTGTCCGGCAAGAGCTCGGGGAGAAGTGCTGGTGTCTGAATGGATGTGTGCTTCATCGGGTCCAAGTAAGTGCGGCTGGTATTGGGAAGTCGGCCGAGCTGGTGGATGATGACGGCGGAAGAAGCGATGAGACCGGCTACGCTAGTCAAGTACAGGAGACCAAATAAACAGGTAACCTGCAGGGAAGGTAAAGAACACAGCAAAGGGTTAGAGATAGCACTGCATGATTAACGGAAATAAAACTGAAGATCGCAACATGGCTTAGTGTGATTATTAGATCGCAAATGGTTTGATTCAGTTAAATAAATAGTAGCCGCGAGTTTCTGTTGAAGCACTTTCATTTACATGCGAGCGGCTCATAATTTGTGGTCTCAGTGTCTCAAAGCAGTTCTGTTCGCAGCAACTTGGGTTGCTTATAACATGCATTTGGAAATGCAACATGCGTCAACTATCTTCTCAACTTGTGACGTGCTTATAAACTGGACGTATATAAAAAACGTTTTCTTCCAAAATTACTTTTTATATGATTTTATAAAGTAAAGCTCAAGACATACCTATTCTCTCTGGCTTTTATTCATAGCAGATTTACTGAGTAGTTGTTGGTCTTGTTTTAGGTCTGAAATCTGTTATTCTGAATATGACATTATTTATTGACTATCTTTGGACTTATTGTACACCACATTAGTCAACCATTTTTATTTTCAATGGCGCTATATAAATAAAGTTTAAGTTGAAAATAAAAGATGTGATGTTTGAAATTGAAGAAATGATGAGAGCCATAAACATTACTACTGTAAATTTAAAATTATTATT